ACCTATATTTGGGGGGGGGGGAAGCTAGATAGAATTGTTTTCATCTGTAGTCTCAGTTTCTACCACAGAACAAGAGGCAGAGATGTGTTTATTATCTAAAATATCTTGAGCAAGCTAACCTGGAGCATGCAGCTCTCAGCCTGGCAGAAACAAGAAACGATTCCTGTCTCAACAAGATGGGAGGAGAGAATGAAGTCCTAGAAGTGGTCCTCTGATCACTTGTGCACTCTGGCCCACACGCATCCGTGGCTCTCTCTGTCTCTCTCTCACACAAAGTATAGCAGTAGTAGTAGTGGTAGTGACCATGACAAAGGTTACCTGCCTTCTGTGGGAAAATAAATGGGTTATGGATTGGACAAGGGAGACAGGGAGGGTGGTCGGTGAAATTACGGTTGACCAGAAGGAAAGAAACTGCCAAGTTATGCAGAATGACTGGCAGGAGAGACGGAGTGTTGGGAGCACAAAAGTTGTGCACTCACAGCTCAGCACTAGAAAATCCAGTAATGTTAAACATGCAGAATTGTCTCTTCAATGGAAGACCCTGTTTCCACCCAGAGGCTTGGAATGGAGATGGTTAATAGCCTAGGTGGGTGGTCCTTCTGCTATCTGTATGGCCAGGGGCTCTCCCAGGCCCCCACAAGCAGGACCGGAAATACTTAATAATGTAGGTCACCTCTGTGCTTTCTGTATGGCAACCCACAACCAGGACCCACAACCAGTTGATAGCCTGGATGACCTCTGTGCTATCAGTATGACCAAGATCACACCAGATCCTTACCTAGGCCCATATAATAACACATGTCTATAGACACAATCTATAGAGCCCATCTATATGGGAGGGAGAGTTCATATTACTTTGAAGAGTTTGGATGTAGTCATGCTTTATTGTGCACATGGGATTGAGCTGTCACCAGGAAACTTTTTTCCAAACTGTACCGTACTTAAATATGCCTAAAATAAACAGCCCGAAGTCAAACTCTAGAAGTTTAAATAAACACTAGTGTAGATGTAACAGTCTTATTAAATAAGAAACATAGAGCCAAATGCAGAGTTAAAAGCCCAAGAGGTCAGAGCAGTAGCTAAGAGCTGAAACTAAAACCACCTTCTTATCCCTCTCTGCCACTGCCGTCCTTCCCCTCAGAAAGAGACCTACTTCCTGTGTATCTGTCTTTTTATTGACTTTCTGTTCTGCCTTCTCATTGGTTGTAAACCCAACCACACGACCTCCTGGTCACTGCCTGTCTATACAGACCTCTAGGTCTCTATGGTTGGTATTGAGATTAAAGGCGTGTGTCTCCATGCTGGTGGTGTCCTTGAACACACAGAGATCTGCCTGTCATGTGATTGGGATTAAGGGCATGTGCTACCACTGCCAGACTTCTGCTATGGCTTGCTATTAGCTCTGACCCGCAGGTAACTTTATTTATTAACATACAAATAAAATCACATTTCAGCACAAATAAAATATCACCATACACTAGCAACTGAGTTGTGTTGAACTGGACTTCCTCCTCACCTCACATGGATCATTACTCTGCTGGCCCTAGTGTTTGCAGAGACCCCTACAGGGAATGCAGTAGACATATCTGAGAAATAGGAGGCCTCTGGATAATACCTGACACACACTCACTCACTTTCCCAGTGATTTTTGCCTAAGGAAATGCTCTGTACTGTGTGGTGAGGCAGCGATGGGATCAGGCTAGCAAAATAATCTTGCTGCTGAAGTGTATGTGTTGCCTAGAATCAAGGGGAAAGAATACATATGATTTAATTATCAGACATAGGAACTGAACATTAAGTTGCTCGATGATGATAATGATGCAAATGATGGGAATGATAACGATGCTCCATAGCGATTGCCTTCCAGGCATTTCGTATGCATTAGACCACTCACTCTTCAAGCAACCTTATGACTTAGGCTCTAGTCTTATTGGTACAGGATAGAAAGGATATAGCATAGATTGTTTAAATACCTTGGGTAAGGTCACTCCCTCAGGACGTACAGAAATTTGAAAGTCTCATTTCAAGGACCCCTACACTCAATAATTCTATTTGTCTATTATGACAAACAGAAATACACCCCTTTATATAACTCAGCAGAAACATCAATAATGACTCTCTCCGATTTGTTCTGGCATTCTGAAGAAGAACAATACAAAGGTTTCTACTCCACTTAGTCTCTAGAAAAGTCTTAGGAGGGGCACAAGAGGCAAAACGCTATGCTTTTGCAGATTCTGGCTCCAAAGAATAGAAAAGGGAGAAAAAACAAACAATGGTGTTTTTAAACAATGACTGATGTTTTCTTTTAGCCATAAGGGAATTTTAAAACTTGACAAACCCATTCAGCTTTCAAAGCATTCCACATTCCCCACCCACAAGCAAATGCCAGAAGCTGCCAGTTTGAGCCAACTCTGAGTTCAGGAACAATTTTCTAAATACTGGATCAGATTTCTTCAAAGTCCATACACCACAGATGAATACTCCCATTGTCTTTAATTGGCCTGATGAAATGTGCTTAGCAATTTATCAACTAATTAATTAATTTAAAAAGAACATTTCGGCAAGAGATGAGATAGTAAGGTACAAATGCAAACTAGAAAATGATAGGGCATTACTACTTCAAAAAGATTAAAATCATTGCTCATGATCTTTGAAATTTTATAGGTAGGTTTTGTACAGTCTCAAATTCAATGAAGGATTTTCTGGGAAGGGGAAAGTCTCTGATTACACAAAGAAGGCAATTTCCTCAATTTGAAGGAGAGTTTTCTTTTTGGAGAAGAAAAAGAAAATGCTGATTACAATTATTATATTCACTCAACTCATGTTCACTGGAAGTGGACCCTGTGCCTAGCCCCACGCAAGGCACTAAAATACAAAACTGTAAAGTATAGATCTTGTTGTCCAGCATGTCTGGGGAAAAGGACACGTAAAGGAATCATGTAATAAAGTGACAAAAGAATAAGTACGAGTGACCTGGGGAAGCAAGGCTAGAGGCGTGAGCCCAGACCGTGTTCCTAAGACTTTTGGATTTAGTCTGTAAGTGATGGAGAGCCATTAAGCAGAACAGGCAATCAGACAATATTAGAAATACTGTGCTATTATCAATAAGAATGGGCTAGAGGAGAAGGAAACATGGAAGGCAGACTGAGTCCCACTCTTCATAAAAATCATTCCAGAATGTTCTGATGTCTCCTTTTCTGTTTTCCAATCCACTTCCCCTTGCTCCAATACATAAGCAATTTAGAAATTTTTTTTAAAAAGACTCTGTGTGTGTGTGTGTGTGTGTGTGTGTGTGTGTGTGTGTGTGTGTGTACATGCACACAGGTGCCCACAAAAGCCAGAAGAGGGCACCAGATCCCCTGGCACTGGCTGTTGTGAGCTGTTCTATGTGGGTGCTGAGAGCCAGACTCCAGTCCTTGGCAGAAGCAGCAAGAGCTCTTAACTCTGAGCCATCTGTGCAGCCCGATACCTTACTTTCTAAAAGTGCTACTTCATTTCCAGGCTTTTGGGGTTTCCCCAATATCTATTATCGGTCTATAATCGAATTTCTCTGTAGTCAGATATCATAATTACTATGGATTGAATCCTTTTACATGTTTGGAGACTTGATATGGTCTACCTGGGTACGTGTATGTATATGTGTGTAGGTATATGTATTAATTATGTTTCTATTGCTATGATAAAACACCACGACCATGATAACCCAGCTGACCAGAACCACAGATTTTTAATTCAAAAATATCACTTGAATGGCCCTTGCAGAGTCTGTGCTTCCCTCTGAAACTTCACAAGCCAGGCCTCCGTCGTCTGCCCTGCTCTCAGCGTGATCTTCTAAGTTCCCACAAGAGCTCATTAAGTTGAACACTCAATGAATGGCTTTTCCAGCCCAAAGCTCCACCATCTACCCCGAACACCATGCTCAGGTTTGTCGCAGCCATATCCCATGAATCTGGTACCAATTTTTGTTTTAGGTTTCTATTGCTATGATAAAACACTATAAGCAAAAGCAACTTGGGGAGGAAAGGGTTTATTTCGTTTCCATATCCTGGGTCACCGTCCCTCGAAGGAAGCCAAGGCAGGAACTCATGGCAGGAACTGAGGCAGAAACCACCAAAGACCAACTGCTTACTGGCTTAATCCTCATGGCTTTCTCAGCATGCTTTCTTATACAGTGCAGCAGCATCTGCCCAAGGTGGCACAACCCACGGAGGGCTAGGCCCTCACACATCAAGAAAACGACCCACAGACTTGCCTACAGGTCATCTGATGGAGGCATTTTCTCAATTGAGGTCCCCCTTTCCCAGGTGACTAGTTTGTATCAAGTTGACAAAAATCCAAACAGGACAGGTGTGGAAGTTTTAGTAAGAGGGACCCAGCTGGAGAAACCAGGTCACTGGAGAGCATGGTGTTGAAGGTATATTATGTCCTTGGCCCCTTCTCTTTCTGTATCCTGGCTGCCAGGAGATACACTCTAGAGGGCCCACAGATAAGCACTGGAGAAATCAGGAATGTTAACCACACAGGGTTGTTTCCTCCATGGAGGAAATGTATACCTGTTTCCCACCCAGAAGGCTGGGGGTAGCTGTTGTTAATCATCTGGTGACCTTTGCTGTCTGCAGGGTCAGGCCTCATCCCGAGTCCCCAGAATGTTTATCCGAGACTCTTCCTCCCTAGAGTCCTCAGTCAGTAGAACCTTCCTCCCTCAGTCAATAGAACCCATCCTTAGAGGAGACATCACATGTACTTCATAGCCTGCTGACTTTTCCAGTGTCTCCATCAGAGACTGTAACAGATTCTCGGCCCTTAAGCTATAGAATCCATGTTCGTGGTAGAGGAGACATGTATGTTGCTAAAGAGGCTTGATGTAGTCATGGCTTAAGCTTTATTGTGCACATGGGATTGGAATAACTGTTATCAGGAAACATTTTTCCAAAATTGTACTGTACTTAAATATGTCTAAAATAAACTGGCTTTGGTGTCAGACTCATGCTGAATGGAGCTTCCTTCTTGTCTCAGGTGGTCAGTTTCTCGGCCGGCAGGAGAGGTTGCTGGGATCCCCACAATCAAGAGTTTCGCTCCTGTGTACACTCCCAAGCATGATGCTCTGTCTTTCCACAGGTGCAGAAACGACAGACCAAGCGACTATGGACCAGGTACGTACTTCCTTCCATAAGCCGACTATTCTCAGGGGTTCTGTCACAGTGCTGGGATGCTGACTAACAGAATGTAAATTAGTATGGCTGGTATGGAGGTTCCTTAAAACCCTAAACATGGGGGCTGGCGAGAGGGATCTGGATAAAGTGACTGCTATGCATGTGCAAGGACTGCAGCTCAGATCCTCAGCACCCATATAAGAAAAGCTGGGCAGGCACCCCATAATCCCACGGTCTAGACTAGCTGAATCTCCAAGCTCCAGGTTCAGCAAAAGACCCAGGGTCAGTAAATAAAGTGGATAGTCACTGAGGAAGGTATTCAGCGTCAACCTGTCCTCCACACGAATGTGCCATCTGTGTATGCACATACTCATATATTTATACCTATACATGTGAGAACACACACACATGCACACACACACATACACACCCCTAAAAATGGATCTTCCAGATGATCCATCAACCCAATTTCTGGAGATATAACCAAAGGAAGTGAAATAGTGCCCAAGAGATAACTGCCTGTCATATTTATTGAGGCCCTATTCATGGAGGCTAAGAAATCCGCATAGACATTACCCTAGATATCAGTCTTGATGTCATTTGTCTTAGTTAGGGTTTCTATTGTTGGGAAGAGACATCATGACCATGGCAACTCTTGAAAGGAAAACATTTAATTGGGGTGGCTCACTTATAGTTTCAGAGGTTCAGTCCATTATCATTATGTCGGGGAGCATGGTGGTGTGCAGGCAAATGTGGTGCTGAAGAAGTAGCTGAGAGTCCAACATCTTGCAGGCAACAGGAAGTGGACTGAGACACTGAGTGAAGCTTAAGCAAAAGATCTCCAAGCTTCCCTCCACAGTGATACATTTCTTCCAACAAGACCACACCTCCCAATAGTGCCGATTCCTTTGGGGGCCATTTTCTTTCAAATCACCACACCATTCAACAGATGAATAAAGAAAATATGATATATACAGACAAATGTGTTCCTTGGTTATAATGCAGAATGAAATCCTGTTATTTGTAGTGAAATGGACGGAACTGGAAAATATCACGTGAAGTGAAATAACTGAAAGACAAGGGCTGAGTGTTTGCTCTCACATGCGGACCTAGAGACTGAAGGCAGAATGAACAGAAGTTGGAAAGAGTGGGGAGCAAGAACAAAAGGAGGCTGGTTTTGACCACAGCATGCTTTGTGCATGTACAGAAACACTAGTGAATTTGTACACAAAATTACTGCATGCTAACGACAATTTAAAAGCTTACATTTTAAATAATAAAAAGCGATTTTGAAAAGAGCCTCAGAAAAGCTCAAGAACATAGACTTGATTTTTTTCCCATGCCCTTCAATTTAACAATGCTGAGTACTCACTACAGGGAGGAACTTTGCTTGATGCTGTGTGCTTAGAAATGACTTTAACAGCTGGAGATAGAATCGAATGTGAGCAATTACTGGGTGTGAGTCAAGCTGTAGCTTTCTCTCATCTAAAATGACAGTTATGGTGATGGCAGACTGAGACCGTCCTGTGGGGAAAAGGTGTCAACTGAGGCCAGTTACACTCCTCAGTACTTCAAGCCATACTCAGCAGATTGGGAGAAAGATCAATTTGTGCAATTCCACAACGGTTAGTGTAACATAAGAGTGAGAGTAACTATATTTCTGTTGAACTCCCAGTATTTTTATATGGTTTTGCTTTCTGACTTGAGGATCCTACACTTTTCCATGGTGCTAGGAGTCAAGGCCAGGGCATGTTGTGAGCACTCCACCCCTGAGCTGCATTCCGGCCCCCTTCTTTGAGAATCTTCAAACGCTGCAGCAAATCTCTCAGCTGCTCTACTTATGAATACGATTTTTCTCTTGGAGTGAAAACGTCAATCTCATTTCTTGCTTTCCACATAAAAGCAACTGAAAGTGTTTTGTTCAGCCTTTGTATTTTGAGTTGGACACCTGTACCAATGACTTGGAAAGAATAAATCAGCTTAGATTATATTAACATCACTGTAATAGGAATTTTAAAAATGTGTGTGTGCATATGCTTGAGTACACATATGCCATGTGTATGTGCATGTGTACAGGTCAGGGGACAAGCTGTGGAGGTTCTTCCTTTCACAGGTGGGTCTGTGATTGAACTTAGGTTGTCCCATTTGGCAACAGGCACCTTTACCAACTGAACTATCTCTCCAGCCTCAGTAGGAAATTTTTCAAAGGAGAATTTAAGAATCATTTTGTATGTGAAATATTAATGTATGATGGGAAAAAAATCACGATTCAATACTGGAAGTTAAGAGGAAAGCTTATTTTTTAGACAGGGTCATATAGCCCCATACAGCTCAGGCTGGTCTTGAACTCACTACGTATTTGAGGCTGGCCTTGAACTTCTGATCCTCCTGCCCCCACCTCCCAAGTACTGGAATTACAAGCATGCACTATCATATTTGGCAGCTTTATTATTATTATTTTTTTTAATGTGAGACTCCAGCATCATTCATAAACTTTAAATATCTTCTTTGAAAAGATTAAAAACTGTGGTTTAGATTCAACATGATTGTCAGCAGAACAGGAAGCTAATCATGCTCCTCTCACAGCAGTATTTTTCCTGAATGAAGAACTGAAACAGACAGAATTTCAAAAGTATTTTATTCCAAATTCCCCATCTAGGAGAAAGGATATATAACAGTGTTTACACATGCTTCAATAACTTATTTCACTGTACAACTTACATTCTCTATAGCAACACAGTAAACCAGCGAAAGAAAACAATTAGCACTTAAATAAGACTCTATTGTGTAAAGTAATGAGTGTGGGACACGGAAAGGTGAGATCTACACATTTTACCACAACTGAGCGGCTTGGAGTTCATAAGCCATCCTGGTCAGTGTGTGTTTAAAAATCAAGATGTCTACACTTTTCTGATTTGTACTGTCACAGCCACTGTGACCTTTCAGAATAGAACTTTTTTTTCTTGCTAAATTTGGTGGGTGGGGAAAGGGCTCTATTTTTATCCCTTTTGTAAAAAATAAATATATTCTCCCTTTTCTGTTAAGTCCAGTTTTAAATAAAATACTTATTTGTGTTTATGCATACTCCTATGTCAACACTACTCTAGCACAGAACTCTACTGATCAGTATTTCACAGCCAGCAAGATGGTCAAACATTACAGTACCAAACACAGACCACTGAGCTTGCCATAATAGCACCTAGAAAAAGAGTACTGGGGTCAGAGTTCTCCTGCTGTTCTTGTGATGCAGGCAACGTGGAAAACACCACAGAATCCAGGCAAAAACGTAAGGAAGGAGGCAAGAAACTTTTCAGATCTAGAAAGATCTTATCAGCTCATGTATTCTCTGACATATTTTACAAGGAGTTCCAAGCCAGGCACACTGCAGACAGTGCACAAGATAAGTCAGATGGAGACGACTGAGCAGTGAAATCTGACCCTCCGCCAAGAAATTACATTTCCAAGACTGGGAAAGGCACAGGAGGTGCACATTTTAATTTGGCTCAGAAATAATGAAAATTAATTTTAAAAGTTGGCAACAATTACAAAAACAAAATGCCACTTTCTTTGACAAAGTTACAATAAACCAACAGAAAGCATACCACGGTTCACGATATTCAGTGACCACACATGACTGCTTGGCATTTCTATACAGACTGCATCTGGAAGACTAAGTCTATAAAGGAAGAGCTAACAACTGATTTCACCCAGAACTCTGCTTTATCAATGCCTTCTTCCAAACGCTAATCTATAGTCAAGCTAAGTTCCTTGCTGTGGAACTGGAAACTTGAAAGGCTCTAATTTTCAGTTGTTGCAGAAGTATGTAATCCTACACACCACGGGACACTGAGGGACAGAAAGTCAACTCGCACTGTATCTGCGAAAGCTAAGTAGGGTTTCACTGTGATACACGTAAACGATGAATCATAAGTTTAAAAAAAAAAACAGCAGTTATGTCAAGTTTATAATCTATCATTCATATCTTTAAAAGACAGCAATAGTATTTAGGATAACTGTAAACATAAGTCCCTAACAGAATACATCTATTCTAGGAAAAGAGACATTCACTGTAACGATGCACCTGACATCCCTGGACAGGCCTCTACGACAAGTGTAGTGTAACTAACTCCTAGAGCAGGGCCCTGGAGGAACAGTGTGTCCACACCACTGAGCTACTGTAACAGCAAGCCTGACTGTGATAAGATATACACAGCAAACCACATATTTAAAAAGTCATTAGAACATCACGTTCTTGTACACTAGTGTAGAAAGGTCTCCCAAAGATGAAAGAGTGTAGGCCTGGCTTAATTTTCTCAGCTAGAGCCATTATTATGTTAAGATCGCCCTCTGCTGTTAAATCAAGATCTATCTTCAGGTTCCGAAGAGATTTAAAGGGCTTTTTCCCCTTCTGCCTATAAATAGAACAAAACAAACAAACAAACAAAAAAACCAAACATTATAATACAGACATTGTTCAAAGGGAACAGAACAGAAACTTACAAGGCATAAGGTTTTTCTATAGAGGAGCTGGACTCACGTATCGTCCTCTATGTATTTGATTAGTGTCAAGGCTTTTCTGTGAAGAACCAGTAGGAACTGCGCAAGGAAAGTGCTCCTGAGAGACAGGCCAGGTTTCAAATGGAAGACCTGCAGGAACACGAGACAACAGTGTCCACACATTTTTATGTAGCAGCTGCCGTGACAGTGTTGACAAGATCTGACACACATCACCCATTACAGCCACTTCTTCCAGTTCCCAAAGGCAGGACCGTGGTAGTGGCAATGGGTTGGAAACACTGACAGTTTTTGAGAGTTCCTATTTTACTGTTAAAAATGCACTGCGATTTTGCATTCTACACCAAAATATATCCTTATTTTATTATGAAAAATCATTATGTGAATTGTTTTAGGTTGTGTGGAGTAGAGGATGAGGGGAATTTTATTTCAGCTTTAGAAACATGGAATCACACGATTACGGATTATCCTCTAACTTTGTACTATCACACAGACCCAAATCCAGATGTCCAAGTTAACACGAGGTCTATGACACAGGGTCTTGGCCTGATTCCCAGAATGGTATTATGACAAAGCTCTGGTTACGGTTAGAAACAAGTCCCATACAATCTATCACCTTTTCCAAATGTGTAACTCAGCAGATATTTTTAAAACTGAGACAATAAAGATGCTACAATTTAAATACAAGTATACTAAGTTTTAAGAACATTTTCAATTCAATTAAGGCAAATAAAAGCATACTCCTCTTAAATGAAAAAGTCCTTAAAGTGTTGTGGAATATTACTTTAAGGTGTGTTACATCTGTTTATGCTATGGAACATTTGTTTAATGATGCAAAGATGTGTTGTACTGTTGCTATATGTTGCTTTTGTTTAACTCCGTGAGGCTGTGATACTTTGCCTGTTTAAAAACCTGATGGTCTATTAAAGAGCTGAATGGTCAGTAGCAAGGCAGGAGAAAGGATAGGTGGGGCTGGCATTCAGAGAGAATAAATAGGAGAAATCTGGGAGGAAGAGAAGAGCAAAAGAACAAGGAGAAGAGGATGGTAGAGGCCATCCACCCAGCCACACAGCCAGCCACAGAGTAGAGTGAAAGTAAGATATACAGAAGTAAGAAAAGGAAAAAGCCCAGAGGCAAAAGGTAAATGGGACAATTTAAAGTTAAGAAACAAGCTGGCAAGAAACAAGCCAAGCTAAAGCTGGGCATTTATAAGAATAAGCCTCTATGTGATTTATTTGGGAGCTGGGTGGTTGGTCCCCCAAAGAGCAAAAGAGCCAAAAGAGTTTAAAAACAAACAAACAAACAAAAAACAACTAACAACATTAGTATAGGGTATTACTTAAAACAACTACTGGAATGGGGAACGCTGTTTTTAACTGTTAATATGCAGGCTATTTCCCATTAATAATTCAAAGGAAAATTCATTTACACACTTCAGAAAGGAATTTAATTTAATTCTTTGGTTCTTTGTATGTATTCTGTAGGCACTGTGGGACATATTTTATTTATTTTTTATTTTTTATTTTTAAAGATTTACCTTTTTATTATGTATACAGCATATATGACCAGAAGAGGGCACCAGACCTTATTACAGATGGTTGGTTGTGAGCCACCCTGTGGTTGCTGGGAATTGAACTCAGGACCTCTGGAAGAGCAGTCAGTGCTCTTAACCTCTAAGCCATTTCTCCAGCCCGGGACATATTTTAAAAGAAAACATGCAAAGTTACTTTCTCTGGCCATGGCTGGCATCATGCTTACCTGATCCAGGAAGGCTTTCACTAGAGTATCTCTGTGTAAGACATCTTGGAAAATATTCCTAAGAAGAAAATAGTCCAAATATTAAATGGTTTTACAGAGCCAGTTCCCATAACCTCTCACTCCAGTCAAAAAGTTAACATTTTATAAACAGATATGTAAGAATACAGATGTGAATGTTTGGAATACATACTTAGTTTGCATGAGGCCCTGGGTTCAATATTTAGTACACACAAAATAAAAACACACACACACACACACACACACACACACACACACACACACACACACACACAGACCCATTTTAACTCAAGGGAACATTTGTACATTACTGGTGTTTTTTTTCTAGCCAGCATAAGCTGAGTATACCTGGGGAAGGGGGCACATGCCTATCTGTCAATGAGTTTTAGAACCTACACCTTACAAAATGGGTTTATGTCAAGAGTCTCACTACCTGTAAATATGAACCAGCAACCCAGTAAGTTACTACTACCTCAGCAATGGCTGGCATGTAAAGACAAAATGGCCAATTGAAGTGACCCGTGTCAGCACAGGTCAGAGCAGAAGCTAACAGACAAGACTGTTTTTTTTTTTTTTTTTTTTTTTCTCAGACACCATTCCCTTCCACTGTTTCCCGAGGCTATTGAATTCATGTCAGAGGGAAAGTATAACATTTATTATGGTAAGACAAATGAAAAGCTAGACTGAGACAGTAGATCACAATACACCTGGATAGGAGCAGCAGAGGAAGAGGGAATGCACAGAATTAATGGAAAGCACTCACTGCAGCTTTCTTAGTCTTAGGAGACGAGTGGACCAAACTAGAGAAAGAAGCCAAGAAGCAGGAATACCAGCATTTCACAATAGCACTGGGCACTGACAGCATACTCACTGGGCTTTGTGGTCAGATTAGGACTTAAGTCCACCATTTTCCAATTTCTAGTTTACTGAATAAAAATCTGGATCACAAAAGAGCTGGACAAGCAAAGACTATCTCCAGAGAAAACACTATTTTGACCACTTTTATCTTAAAAAGGTTAAAATTAAAAATTAATTAATTGGGGATATGGTTCAGTGGTACAGCAATTGCCTAGCATGTGTGAACACCTGAATTTGAACCCCCAAACTTCCCAGACTTAAAAGCATTATTATTTAAAGCATGCTAATACTAACATGAGTCCACAATAATAAAAGTGAAAATATAATTTTCTGGTTGAAAATATCTTTGACAATTTTATATTCAAAACATTTACTTAAAACTGGACATAAAATTCTCAAATTCATGACATTATTTTGTCACGCCAGAATAGCTGACCAATTGCTTTTGTCAAACCAGCCGAGCAAACATTCAAAAACAAAAGTGCTAACAGGGTGCAATCCATTCAAGTCTATATTTTCTGAGAAGAGATGCTAAACAGGACTTCATTAGTTATGAGGATGATGCTGGCATGCAGACTCAGTGAGAAGCATTCTACATGTTTTCCAAGATTGCCAGCATGCGAACTGGTGAAACGAAATTTCAATTTGACCAGTTCCTTTTCTGAAGCAATTCCTCTTCACCATTCTAAGCAATAAACAGAGCACAGAGAGCTGTGCAAAAAGGGTTCTTCTACACGCTAGGACCTCCAGGCATCATGTTCCTATTTGTGGCTCTGGCCAGCAGTTTACTGTGGCTACCGGTATCTCTTGTTTCGGCTCTGTTTTCTTCTTCAGAGACACAGGATACACCCATCTGCTCCAAATTTACTGCTCCCTAAAGCCAGCCCTTCAACCCACATAATCACAGTTACCATATTTTGAGTATATTTCTAAGGACTCTTATATTTCAAGCCCTTAATTGATTCAAGGGAACAGTAATACTGTATCACAAGTCTTTTCCAGACTTCAGAACATCATTTAAAAGTTTTCTTGGAGTTTTGTAATTTAAGATCACAATTTTTCTCCTAATCAATCAATACTTAATTATTGCCTTTTACTTTGCTGATCATATTTTCTGGTAAGAAATAAATAGAAAAATGTACAATGCAAAGGAAAAGTGTTCTCTTCATATATATCAACTGTTCTGTTTTATATTCATATCCAAGAAGAAAGACTTAGAATTACTGCAGTTTAGTGTACAAGAATGTCCAATAACCATTAAACACTAAATTACCACAGTAGGGGCTGGCATTTTCTGGCTAATAATTGCTAACCCTGGCACTTCACTAAGTAATTAGGAGTTCAGTATATATTTACTAAGTATTTTTAGAGGAAATCTTAACCTATTTTACAGGAAATAATATTTTAAGAAATGAAGATTTAAGCCAGGTATGGTGGTACACACCTTTAATCCCAGCACTTAGGAGGCAGAGGCAGGTGCGTATCTGTGGATTTAGGGCTAGCCTGGTCCATATAGTAAGTTTTAGGCCAGTTCCAGTGAGTTCTCACTGGGCCATATAGAGCTGCCCACTGAGACTCTAAAAATAATAATACTTTAAAACTTAAAAAATAAAGTGGCTGATTAAATGCTTCTTCAAGCCTCATTATGCTTGTCACATTTCTTTCCTTTAAAATACAACTCGCATCGTTTTTACTTGTAAATGATAAAAGTTTTATGTTGTTTGGCAAGGACACCTAAGGCTAAGTGTCACATACAAATCAGGAGTGAAGCTTTCATCTGTGTAGATGATGGTGTCCTGAGCCATGTCCTCTTCTGAAGTTGCCCTCCAGAAGGCTGTCAGCTCTGATCTCATATATCTGCGTTGATTATAAATATGTTCATGACATGGTGGCATCTGCTTGACAGTATTGACATCCACATCAATGTGCGTGGTTGGATACGGAGCATACATAACCTGCCGGAAGGGTAAGACGAAGCTTCCCGTTGCATCCTGTCAAAATGAAGAGAAAGCTTAGTGGCCACATGCCAAATGAGAAGCCATTGTGGCGCACGCCTTTAATCCCAGCAATCGGGAGGCAGAGCCAGGCATGGATCTCTGTGAGTTCAAGGCCAGCCTGGGCTACCGAGTGAGTTCCAGGAAAAGGCGCAAAGCTACACAGAGAAACCCTGTCTTGGAAAACAACAACAACAACAAAAATGTAATAATGATAATAAGAGATGCATACCTCTGTACATCTGGTATAAGGCTCTTTCAGAAATAACTCAAGAGGTTACTACATAAAAATCCAGCCACTGTAGTTTTGCTTACAGTGAAAGAAGTATACAGTGTTACCATTTAAAAAGCGGGTCAGAACATGCCAAGTATAATCCAACAGTGGAGTGTGGCACTGCAGAAAATACACACAGAAGAAAAAGACTACAAAGACCTGTGCCAACTGTTAATGGCTGGTCTGTAAATTATGATTGCCTTTCTTTCTCAATTTTTTTTCCTTTCTGTAGCTAAACAAATATGTAGATTAATAGGTAAACTATATGCCTCTTTCTAGTTACCATGAAGCAAAGACCTGATGTGTGTGGTACTGTGCTAAGTGGTGTGAACAGAACAGAAGAGAGAGGCCGCCTAACTCTCTCCCTCTTAAAAGCCTAGGATAATCACTGTATATCAAGGGGTTTTCTGGAAAGCTATACAACTTAGCTTTGCTTGGAGAACTCTCAGTGTGTCACTCAATCATAGTTTTGCATTTCCCCTGTGTGCACCGGGGGCTCTTTTAGAAGTAACACACAGTATATAACTCAACAAGGGGGTGCTAGGAAGAGCTATGTACTTCATTGTGCCTTTAAAGAAAACTGAGATTTGTAAAGTTAAAATTAGAAATGTATTTTCTTTAATTCTGAGCTCATGGCACGTACATGATTTGAAACCCCAAAGCTGATTTTCATTTTGAAGGTGAAACGGGAGATTGAACGCAGGGCCTTCAACTTTCTAAGTCAGCATTTCTCAATGTCTGGGGGTCATGCCCTTTGGGGTCTCATATCAGACATCCTGCATATCAGACATTTACATTATGATTTGTAACAGTAGCAAAATTACAGTTATAAAGTAGCAACAAAATAATTTTATGGTTGGGGTCACTACAACATGAGGAACTGTATTAAAGCGTCGCAGCATTAGGATGGTTGAGAATCACTGCTCTAGTAAACAACCAACCACATCAATGAACTGTATCTCAGATCTCCAAAAGCTAAATTTTTATTTGCAAGAAAATAGATTTTTAAAAAATATTTTGTAATTTTATGAACTTCATTATAAAAAATCTTGCAAGTACACAGCAATATCACATACCAAAATTAACCAGACCCAAAGTCTATACAAATCACGACTTAGCATATAGTTAGACTAGGCATTTGGAACAGCTGTGGAGCTTCACATTAAATTTTACCGTTTCAGTATCAAATGCATTACTGCACTTACCCACCACTTAACACAAAAGATCCATGACAGAATTAAAACTAGAAAAACAATTAGCGTTATATTGTCTTTCATAACTTGTGTCCATTACATGCATCCAGTCCTTTCTCATACCCTTTATATGTTATATTTAATTTTTAAATAAATAGCATCTTAGCACTCAGAAAGTTGAGGCAAGTGGATTACTGTGAGTTCAAGGTTAGTCTAATTTTATGTCATCTTGACACAAACTAGAGTTATTAGAGAGGAGGTTGACTCAATAGAGAAAATGCCTCCATAATACTGGGCTGTAGGCAAGCCTGTTGGGCATTTTTAAAGAGTGATTCTGAGGGAGGGCCCAGCCCACTGTGGATGGGGCCACCCCTGGGCTAGTAGTCCTGAATTCTATAAAGAAACAGGCTCAGAAAGCCATGGGGAGCAAGCCAGTAAGCAGCACCCCTCCATGGCCTCTGCATCAGCAGCTGCCTCCGGGTTCCTGCTCTGCCTGAGTTCCTGTCCTGACTTCCTTTGGTGATAAACTGTGATGTGGAAGCATAAGCTGAATAAATCCTTTCCTCCAAGTTGCTTTGGCCATGGTATTTCCTCACAGCAGTAGTCACCCTAACGAGGGCAGACGTTGGTACCAGGAAGTCACAGGTGCAGTACCAATTAAGTGACAGCAGCCTGGAGGGCTGGGGCAAGGTTCCCCAGACAGTGGTATATTCTTTGAATCAGTATCCAATATACAGTACAGTTTCTTCCATTAGTGAGGATCCACAGGCCCAGGAATAAAGGGATAGAAAAGAGAATATTTCTATTCATTATCACACCTAGTGACTCCACTAGGAGATTTTTTGCTTCCTATTCCTGTGACCTTAAGTTCTGCTGGCCTAGAAGTTTGGGTTACTGAGGGAGTGCTGCTGCCAGGAGCCTCAACAAACATTCCATTGAACTGGAAGCCAGCTTCTCCTCGGCTACTTTGGGCTTCAAATGCCCTTAAGCCATCAGGCTAAGAAAGAAATATCAGTGTTAGGAGGGGTGATAGATCCAGATCACCATAGGGAAACTGGATTGCTTCTCCATAATGGAGGTAAGAAGGGTTATGTATGGAGTACAGGAGATCCTTTAGGGCGTTTCTTGGTGCTACCATGTCCTGTGACTGAAGTCAATGGGAAACTACCACAGCCTAATCCAGGCAGTGTTTTCTTTCTTCAATTTCTTTATAATGTGATATAACACCAATTAAGAGAATATCAATGGTTATCATATTTAAGTTTGAGATACTAAAAGAATGTTCCTTGAGGGACATTGCCACCTATTCTAAATTTATAGTATGTTGGCAGTTGTATGAGGGATAGTTATATGATGTTAGGCGCAATCATGACCTGGTCAAATAGATAATGCGTTTCTGATTGTATGTGGGATAGTTATATCATGTTTATGTGTTGTTATGACCTGGTTATTGTTCTCATTTTGAATTTAATCATGACATAAGGAAATATAATTGGGTGTCAAGTTGACAAGGGACGGACTTGTGGTAGCTATTTTTGGTTGTTAACTTGATTACATTTGGCCAAAATCCAAAAATGGCGTGAACACCTGTGGGGTATTTTTGCTTAATTTGAAGTAAGACGGTCCACTTCTAATCCGGATCTTTGAGGTAGGAAGATATGCCTTTAATTCAGATCATTTGAGCTAGGAAAAGACATGCCATTTAATGCTGTTTAAAAAAAAATTTAATCCCGCCTTTAATCCCAGCACTTGGGAGACAGAGCCATGTGGATCTCTGTGAGTTTGAGGCCAGCCTGGGCTACAGAGTAAATTCCAGGACAGGCACCAAAACTACACAGAGAAACTCTGTCTTGATAAATGAAAAAAAAAAATTATTCCCTTCCCCAAATTAATGCCATTTAAATATACATTTAATCCAGATCTTTAATCTGGATCTAATCTGGGCCACACCTTCTGCTGGAAGCCTATGTAAGGACATGGAGGAAGGAAGCTTTGCTCTTTGCCTGCTTGTCCTTGCCTTGCTAGCACAACCATTCCTTCACTGGCATTAGCTTCTCCAGGATTCTAGCTTCTACTGAAGACCAGCTGAGACATCCAGCCTCATGGACTGAGAAACTTGTGGATTCTTATACTTTCTGTTCACAGCCCTCCGTTGTTGAATTAGCTGAACTGCACCCTTTAAGTCATTCTAATAAATACCCTTTCTATATATAGAGAGATTCATTCTATAAGTTTTATTACTCTAGAGATCCCTGACTAATATCCATCCATCCATCCAATCAACACAGAGCAATTATATTTGCAGGGTACAGTGTGACATTTCATGCATACCAAGTGTATGATTTACTCATGGTGTCATACCTATCACCCCTGATAGTTATCATTTTCTTTTGTTTTGAACATTCAAAATCTCCTTTATGAGATTTTTGTTTGTTTGTTTGTTTGTTTTTCGAGACAGGGTTTCTCTGTGTAGCTTTGCACCTTTCCTGGAACTCACTCTGTAGCTCAGGTGGGCCTCGAACTCACAGAGATCCACCTGCCTCTGCCTCCCAAGTGTTGGAATTAAAGGTGTGCGCCACCACCGCCCTGCTGAGTTATTTTTAAAAATCAAACTAGAGTTGAGGCGATGGCTCAGTAGGCAGAGTGCTAAAGCTGTGCAAACATGAGGGCCCAACCTGTGTGAAGATCCCCAGCACATATGTGAAAGTTGGTTGCAGCAGCCTGTGCCTATAACCCAATGTTGGGGATGTATGTGTGGACAGGTGGATCTCAGAGCCTCAACAATCAGCTAGGATAGTCAAAATCAGGTTCAGTGAGAGACCCTGCCTAAAAAACACAGTGGAGAGTGATAGAGTCAGACACTCCATATCAACTTCTGTCCTACACATTTCTCTCTCTCCTTCCCCTCCCTCTTTCCTATACACTAAATAGAAAAATACAATTGACTGTCATAATTATTTTACACTACTAGAAAACATTGTAAATTATTCTTTTTATGCAACTGCAACGCTAAGTCTAATAATCATCCTGTTTCTCTCCAGCCTCTCCTCAGCATCCTTTCTACATTTTGGTAATCTCTATTTTAACTTCTACTTCTATGATATAAATGTTTTAGCTTTTACATATAAATGATAACATGCAGCATTTATCTTTCTATACCTGGCTTATTTCACTTAACACAATGTCCTCTAGTGTCACCCATGTTGCAGCAAACAAGAGACTTTCCTTTTTGTGATAAGCATCCCATTGCGCATATGTACCATTATTTCATCCATTCATTCATGGATGGACATTTAGATTGATCCTATATGCCAGCTATGGTGAATAGTGCTGCAATAAACATGGAAGTGAAGGTGTTTCATCCATATAATGATTTCTTTTCTTTCAGGACTTACCCAATGGTGAGATACCTGGATCATACGTCTAATTATTTATTACAATAAATGGTTAATTTATTATAGCACTGAACCTTGTATGTTCTGGGCGAGTGCTCTACCATTTCTAGTTTTTTTTTTTTAAATTGTCATACTGTTCTCCATAATGGCAAATGAATAATTTATATTTCATCAGTGATGTGACAGGTGTCCTTTCCCCATATCCCCATATCCTTGAAAGTGTTGATTGAGTTGTTGTTGTTTTTTGATAATATCCATCTAAATGGGGTACTATCTCACAGTTGTTTTGAATTTACCTTATACATAAGCAATGTTGAGCACTACTTCATATATTTATCAGTTAGTTTCATATCTTCTTTGGAGATGTCCATTTCTTCAGTCTACTTGCTCATTTTCTGTGTTGAGATACTTACACTAACCTGTCTGATGAACTGTTCACAAGTATTTTCTCTCATCCTATAGGTTCTCCTGATTCATTTCTTGGTTGTGCAAAAGCTTTTTAGTTTGATAAAATCTATCAATTTTTGGTTTGTTGATTATGATTTTTGGGTTACATTTAAAAAAAAAATAAGAAAGAAAAACAAACCTTTTCCCAGATCAGTGTCCTGAAGTGTTTCTTGTAAGTTTTCTTCTAACAGTTTGTGTTTAGGATCTCAGTTTCCGGTGCCTGACCTAGCTGGATTTGTATCTGGTAAGAAGAGTCACTCTTCTCCACAGTTCTTTCAGAACCACTCCTGCAAGAGACCCCCTTTTCTCTGATGTACATTCTTACTATAACCATTAGAATTCAGTCACCACTAATCTGAGGAGTTAAATCTGGGTTTTTGATTCTGTTCCATTGTGTCTATGTGAAGTCAGGTATTTCTATGCTACCAGCTTTTTTTTTTTTTTTTTTTTGGCATAAAATTGCTTTGCCTACTCAGTGATTGTATTAATCAGACTTTCATTAATATGTCAAAATACGTGAGGAAGTCAGCTTTAAGGAGGAAATACCTCTTCCGATTCACTGTTTCAGCCTATGGTCATAGTTTGCCTTACTTTGGGCCCATGGACAGGCGGAACACCATGGCAAGGCACACAGGGCAGAGCACACAGATGGACAGGGGTGAGGGTGCAGGCCAGGTTCCTCCTATACCCTTCAAGGGCATGTCCTCAGTGATTTAATGTCTCTCAACTAGGCCACAATTCCTAACATTTTCACCACTTCTCAACAGTAGCACCAGCTCAGATTATATGTTCAACATTACATGTGAGCCTTTGGGGATACCGCAGTTCCAAATGGCAGCAAACTCCGGGGTGCTTCTTTCTAGTTCTGTGAAGAACATCTTTGTTCTGCAGAAGGTTCTAGATTGGATAGATGTTTTAGCAGCAGTCTTTTAGTCCACGAATACTGGATGTCTGTCTTTCCTGTGTCCATTTTTACTTCTTTCATTGGTGCTTTATAATGTTTGTAGCAGACATCATTCACTTCTTGGGTAGTTTATTTTGTAACTACTGGGATTGGGATTGCTTCCTTCATTTCTTTTTCTCAGAAATTTCCATTACTGGCATGCAAAAAAAAGTTGAGTTTTTGAGGTTGTACATCCTGCACTCTCACTGAATTTATCACTTATAGCATTATTTTGGTGGAATCTAGGACATCCAGCATGCTAATCAGGCACTCTACCACTGAGGTGCAGCCTCAGCCTGGAGTCTATGTTTTTCTGCTTTGGCAAAGACTTACGACACTGGCCTGAATAAAAGCAGTGAAAGTAGGCATCATTACCTTGTTCCTGATCTTGGACACAATGATTTCAGCTTTTCCTTATTTGGAATAATGTTGGTTGTAGGTCTGTGGAATATAGCCTTTCCTTTACAGATGTAAGGAATGTTCCTTGAATATGTAAGTTTACTTAGGGTTCCTGCAACAATATTCATTTTGTTTTCCTTCATTTTGTTATGCTTACATCCTCAAGAATAACTATGAAAGAACCACACAGTGATCATGAAAAACTATTTCTTTATGGTTTTGTGTGTGTGTGTGTGTGTGTGTGTGTGTGTGTGTGTGTGTGCGCACATACGCGTGTGAGCATATACATGAACGTAAGCACTGTATGCACACATGTGTATATGAGTGTTCACGTGTGTTGAGTGTACATGTGTCCATACGTGCACATGTATGTTTGTATGCATGCATGTGGAAAACTGAGGTTGATGTCTGGAACTTTCCTTGATTGTTTTTCCACCTTATTCTTTTTTGAGGTAAGGTCTTTCACTCAAACACAGAGCTTGTTAGAAAAATAGTTATTTCTACTTAATTATTGAAAAAAATTGCTAATTTATATTTATCTGTTTTGCTTCTTGGAAATGAACCAAATTTAATATAAAAAATTAAAAATGTAAGTACTAGAAACAGACATTTTGCATAAGCTTTAAAAGGTATTTTAAAAATGAGTAAGTATGGTACATATCCAAATCTCTTCGGCAAGCAAAAGAAACATTATTACCATTTCAGAGGCTCAGTCTGATTCACTCATGTATTTAAAAAGAAAATACTGAGGCTAGACACATAGCTAGAGGGATCCAAGTGAAATATAAATACTATCCCATGGTGCTTCATGGAGGATACTAGCTATAAATCCGTAAGACATACACTCCATGCTCAGAACTATTAAAAGAAACCAGTCCCCAGACAACTACAACATGATACGTTAAATGCTAACAATATACTTTACAAAGATTCTCAGTAATTATTCTTAAAATTCATTTTTACTTGTGGCTTCACAGATGAAAAGGAACGGCAAGTATACCTTTAGCAGGCCTTGTACAAAGAGTCCTGATTCATATTTAAAGGATGATTCTGCTTCACACAACCTGGAGCATTTCCTCTCTGCTGGAGTCAGAAAAAGGCATAACGTTTTCACTATCTAGAGAAGAAAAGATTTAGCATTGAAATGAGAAATAGAAGACCACTGTTCGCTTATGAAAGAAACTTAGAAATTTTTGTTGCCATCACTAAAATAGTCCCCAAGTAAGGAGTATCCCTTGGTTACCCGAACAGGCCACGGGTCAGAATATATACTGCGTACAAACAGATTTTGTGGTCAGTTAGTTTAGGAAGCAGTTGGAAAATCAACTGCATGGTATGTCAGAACTTGCTACATTTGAATAAATATTGTTGTTCTCTAAGTGAGCAATACTCATTCTTTTCCAGATTTACTTATATCACATTTATTTGACCATGAAGCCTTTATCTCAGTGAGAAATAATAACCTAAAGCAATACTTGACCATACTTCTACCCAGCAACAACTGCTTTTCATGTAAGCTAAGAGCTCTGAGAAGAAATCCATGTGTTTAAAGGGAACCACCGTGTGATACAAACAGACAAACCACATTACAATGAACAACAGGGACTGTCCAAACCTGCCACAGGAAAAACTACAAAATTTCCCTGGAAACAAGTGGATGCGGTGGGTTTAGAAATGGCTGACACTAAGAAGAGCTGACCGAGAGCTGTACTGGGGAACAGTAACAGCCATGCAGTGCAACTTTGGGGAACTCTGACCACATCCAGAGACAGCTCCGAGACAGTGGTTTCCAACTACAGTAGTAACAACTTGTCTCTCCAAATGAAAAGATAAAAGACAACCTATTCGGGCTGGAGAGATGGCTCAGAGGTTAAGAGCACTGGCTGTTCTTCCAAAGGTCCTGAGTTCAATTCCCAGTAACCACATGGTGGCCCACAACCATCTGTAATGAGATCTGGTGCCCTCTTCTGGCCTGCAGTCATAACACTGTATACATAATAAATAAATAAATCTTTAAAAAAAAAGATAAGCTATTCAACCTAAAAGAAAATGAAAGATGAAAAAAGTTAATAAATGAAGATCAAACCATGGAGCCTTTCTCCCTTCATAAAGTCAACCAAGATGGGCTGCCTCCCCATGGAACATAAGGCGTCCACTGTCTCAAGTGGAAAGCTACTCTTAGGGTCACACATAACAGCCCTAATTGCTTAGCTAAAATATAATGAGTGGTTTATTATTCTCTCATAAACAGTTGAATGAGAAATATAAATTTGGCAAATTAAAGTTCATATAAGCACACAGGGTGGCTTGCAAAAAAAATGACAAATAACTCTGTAAAGCAAATAACCATCCTAACACATTTCCATGTAAAACTTTTTGAAAAAAATGAGGTTTGGCCGGGCGGTGGTGGCGCACGCCTTTAATCCCAGCACTCGGGAGGCAGAGCCAGGCGGATCTGTGAGTTCGAGGCCAGCCTGGACTACCAAGTGAGTCCCAGGAAAGGCGCAAAGCTACACAGAGAAACCCTGTCTCGAAAAACCAAAAAAAAAAAAAAAATGAGGTTTGTTATAAATGATATGAATACACACACACACACACACACACACACACACACACACATATACTTTTGGCATTAACCTTGAGGAAATATTTGATCTCTCTCTCTCTCTCTCTTTTTTTAAGATTTATTTATTTATTATGTATACAGCATGTATGACTGCAGGCCAGAAGAGGGCACCAGATCTCATTACAGGTGGTTGTGAGCCACCATGTGGTTGCTGGGAATTGAACTCAGGACCTCTGGAAGAGCAGTCAGTGCTCTTAACCTCTGAGCCATCTCTCCAGCCCCAATATTTGATCTCTTACCTGAGTTCTCTCCTGTGTATCTCTTTTGGGGAGCTACCCTGAAAGATACCCTAAAAAGGTAGTTTTGTAGTGTAAGACATGCCTACATTCAAGCTCACATCTCTCAGTTCAATGCTGATCTTTCTATAATTTCCCTGACAACAAGAACATTAATTATTTATGTGTTCCCCCTTTATGTAGATGGTAATAAACTCACATATTTTGCACATCACCTCCAGAAGCTAAATGAATTATTTAACTTGCTCTTTTATATTATCTACTTTTTGTTATTCTCAAATATTTGTTTTAATCTAAAGTTGTATGTATTCCCTCTGTACTTCATGGTTATATTCACCAATATAGTTTCCTCTTACCTCATATATTCAATAACAAATTATTTAGTAGGTAAAGTCATACAGGAATAAAAAACAACTGGGAAATAGAAGAAAAAGATTTCATTGAAAGGTCAGACAAGGTAGTGCATACTTTTAATCTCAGTGCATGGGTAGAAGAGGCAAGTGGACTGTGGGGAGTTTGAGACTAGCCTGGTCTACAGAGTGAGCTGCAGGCCAGCCCAGACTATACAGTGAGACCCTGTCTCAAACAACAACAACAACAACAACAACAAAGCAAAAACAAAAAACAAATTTTTTTTTCTCAAAACAATTTATGATACAACTGAGAGTGATGAATTATCAAAATTAAAGTAGTAATTGAATTCTCACACATTTTATTAGTCATTTTTGCTAGAGGTATCAGAGTAATTTGGTAAAATTACATTGCCTCCTTATACCATTAGGCTATTTCAATTGCAACCCAATATTTAAATGATAATTCATGACATGTCAGTAGTATTAGAAGTCAGATCTGATTTGAACTATAAAAAGAATTACCTTATTTACTTTCTCTGCACTGCTGCCTACCACGACAGAACAGCCACAGGTCTGCAGATGGGAGCTGATGGCGCTGCAGGTTAATGAAAACATTAGCAGGATTACAACTTCACAAACAAGAGAAGACGAAGTGAGCTTCAAAAACACAGAGTACCTCTACTTGACAAACACCAAAGCTATCAGCATGACGTTATCTTTTATTGTGTAAAGCTGCATTGTCCAGGTGCCTTTCACAGACATCAGACTATCTGAATCTTAAGACAATCCAGGGCTGGAGAGATGGCCCACTGGCTAAGAGCACTTGCTGCTCTTGTAGGGAAGATCCAGCACCCAAATGGTGACTCACAACCATCTAGTTCCAAGAAATCCAAAGCCCTCTTCTGGCCTTCGCAGGTACCAGGCACAGGTACACATGTGCTCATACATATATGCAGGTACTCACACACACATAAAATTAAAATACATTTGAAGGAAAAAGATACCCCAGTTAGTTAACAAAATGCCATTGTTTTATAGTAATTTCTTTAAAGACATATTTGAAAACAATATATGCATGGCTGACACCAGCAAACTTTAAAGTGCTTCCGAGTCAAGCCATTCAGACCTTTATGTTGAGGATGCTCACACCTGGCATTTCATTGTGAGCTTAAAGGAAGAGAATGTAGACATAGAGGGAAATACTTTTTAAAAAACACTTATTTACTTCTTGTTTTTTTTAATTTTTTTTAAATTTAATTTTATTTTGTGTCACTCGGTGTAAGGGTGTCAAGTTCCCTTGGAACTGGAGTTACAGACAGTTGTGAGCTGCCATGTGGGTGTGGAGAATTGAACCCGGGTCCTCTGGAAATGGACAGCAAATGCTCTTAACCACTGAGCCATCTCTCCAGCCCCACTTCTTGTGTTTAAAAACAAAAGCTGGTGACAGTCTGCACCTTGTGCAACAGGGAGACCACCACAGGCGATGGGTACACACGCAGAACACTCCGTACTGCAGGTGAACACACAGCTGCTCAGTAAGTACCGGCTAGTCCACTACTGTCTTCCACGGAGGAAATATAAATGGAAACATTAGCTATTGACAACAGAGGGAGCTGGTGTGCCTGGCACTGTCCTAAGTGTTTTATATGATTCATCTCACTCGGTGCTTACAATGACCCTATAAAACAGCTGTTATCACTGTTCCCATTTTATAGATAAAGAAAATGGAGGTACAGCTTGGGGTAGCTTGACCAAGTTGACCCAGCTGTAACCCAGACAGTTGTAACAAGTCTGGTTTTAGAGCTCATGCTCTTAAGTATTAAATTCCATAGTTAGATGGAAAATACCAGTCCAAAATATGAATGATTTCTATTTCTAGATCTACAGAATTCACAAAAATTTACAATGCAACTCAACTTGATAGGTTTCTAAGGTTTATGTTTAATGAGAATTACAAGTAGAAACCAGAACCAAACAAAAGACCAGACCTTCTCTGGGTTCTATGGAAACTTAGCTTTTTTTAGACCGTGGAAGGGCTAACATCAGAGATGTCACTACAGTATGAGTGAAAACAGTGAGCAACAGCTCAAATGTGCAATGCTGTCTCTAAATAACTGGAGTAAGTAGGTAGTCCATTAATTGTTTCCATGAAATCTCGCCACGGGTGAGCATTAAGACTTTTATCTGCTTTACTAGGCATTCAGAGAAAGAAGTAAAATTCTTACTTGAGAAGAAAGCCTTCGTGACAGCTGTCACCAATGTCATCGTCATTGAGCACGGTGTCAGCTATCTAAAAGGCACACACACACACAACATCAGTCTGTTTACAACTGGGTTGAGAGAACTCTTAGTAATAAGTATGCTGGTGTCTAGAGTCAACAAGACACAGCACTCTCGTTATGAGCATCAAGAATACCTATAAAATGGTGCTGTGCACGTACTTTTCAGAAGAACAAAGGGAAAAGTTGACCAGGCAGGTTAAACAACAATTTTTACAACTTCCACTTCTAAGCTATCAGAATCAGGAGACCAAGCTTAATGACAAGTTAGCATTAGGAACAGTGTCTAAAGACAGCTACACATGGAAAACATGTGACCGAAATCTCAACACATGATCAGAGAAAGTGAAGAATGAGGCTCTGGAGAGATGGCTCAGTGCTTAAGAGCACTGGCTGTTCTTCCAGAGGACCTGAGTTCAATTCCCAGCACACACATGGCAGCTCATAACTGTCTGTAACTCCAGTTTCTTGAGGGGTCTGACACCCTCTTCTGGCCTCCAGGGCACTGTATGCAAATGGTACACAGACACACATGTACGCAAAACACCCAAACACATAAAAAATGAAAAAAGAAATTGGAGAACGTGGCACCCACTCACAGCTTAATTGGCACACTGCTCTGTTCAAAAGCACTTTATTTAATAGTAGTTATTTCTATAAATGCCTGGAATTTCCCCCTCTTCTAGGAAACTCAAAAGTGGAGAGATAGTGAAACAAACTGTTTAATTTTATCAGAACATGATTGATCAAAGAAACCCGTTTGGTCAGAAAATTCAGCATTTCATGTGTGCTTACTGGATTGAAGTTGATACTTCATATGATAGTATTACAACACAATTTACACTATTAAAACAAGAACATTATCACACACACACACACACACACACACACACACACACACACACACACACACACACACCCCATGAATCAGTCAAGGGAATCTAGACAGGGTCCAGGTGCCCCACGGCACTTACATCGATTTCTTCGGGGACACTGTGTGACTTCATAGATGCAAGCAGCTCCATCACAGGAATGACTTCCCCAGTAAGCATGGGAATGATACTCTGACCCTGTATCAACCATAATAAAGTGAAGGGAATCACAGTGTGGGTAAGCCAGGTAGTAAAAACATTTCAAATGGGTGCAGAGAGTAAAACACCCACAGAGGGAATTGCTCAACACACTCCCAAACAAGCCTACCACTCTAGAAACAACTGTCAGGTATTTTCATGCTCTTTAAATTTATTTTCATTCTTTTTTTTTTTTTTTGGTTTTTCGAGACAGGGTTTCTCTGTGTAGCTTTGCGCCTTTCCTGGAACTCACTTGGTAGCCCAGGCTGGCCTCGAACTCACAGAGATCCGCCTGGCTCTGCCTCCCGAGTGCTGGGATTAAAGGCGTGCGCCACCACCGCCCGGCTATTTTCATTCTTTTATGAATAATTTCCTTCAGTGAGTATGATTTATTGTTTATTATCACATACAACAATTAAACTATAATGCCACACTTAGAAAGGATCTCCTTTGGAATTTAACTAAGACACAAAATCTCTTGTTGAAAGCCATCTTTATATTTTCCTTTTAAAAAGTGAGAAAAGTCCAGCATGAAAAGATGTGAATCATTAGAAAGGAACCAGGAAGGCTCCTCTCAATATTCAACCTCCACATTCAAATGACATAATCTGCTCAAATGCATACTAAAGATACCACACAGAGCAAGAATCAGTAAGACAGAAGATCTCCTCTGGAGAACTTGCCAGATAGTGCTACCATTTGCTGCATCTCTGAAGCATCACTTTAAAGTCTGTGTTTTCTGGCATCCAGTTTGTGGCGTAATTGCAGTGTGTGACGCATGAGGGACACCACTTACTCACTACCATCTCTCCAGTCCGTTTGTGGTCACCTAAATGGGATGCTGACACTGCCAAGTGTCCATCCATCTCAGCTAAACACATTTTAAAAGTAACCACTTCTATTCACTTCAGTAGGTTTTCTTCGTTCACTCAGGTTTCGTGAAATGATCATTTAAACCCCTCACATATATTTTAAAGTTAGAACCTCAAGTTAAGGGCTGAGGATTATATACCACTTAGTGGCAGAACAGCAGCCTGGCATGTATGAGGCTCTAGGGCTAATCCTTGCATACAAACAAACGAACAAACAAACAAAAATCCATTTTCAAATCCCCTTATCATGGAAGGGATTTATTTCCCTTGGAAAATTATCCTAATCTATAAAAGTCTATGCAGATATAGAAAGTTTTATTATTTCAAAAAATTCCTCTTACAGTAACCTCCAGAATAAACTACTCATTGCTTTTGCTTTTTAGAGTAATCGCTGAAGTGTCTATTTACAAATACAATTGAGACATGGTATTCAACAATGTATGTTACACTTCCTTCCTTGTTCAGTGATTTTGTCAGATGATAGGGATACGGACCCCAAACTAACCAGGGCTGAAATTGTTTCAGAGTGCTGTGCCACCCCGAAGCAGCAGCGAGACTCATCACAGAGCTGTTGCAAGCACGTTACGTCAGCTATGCAAATATAAAGCAGGAAGGGTGAGTTTTACCTCCCCTTGGGTTCAGGCACACATGGCACATTAGCCGTGGACTCTCGGGCATTTATCATCACCACAGTGAACGAACAGTCTCACTGGAGCACAGCAAAAAAATCTTACAGGAAAATCGCAGAAGAAACTGTCTCCCTGAGTTTCTCTAACTTGAACTTCTGTCGGACAATGTTTCCACTTCAAATCTCTTTAGTTTATTCTCCATGTACTTTCTTCCTGACATGGAAGGCGAGGATAACATTTTTAAGTACAGCCGGAAGAGCAGAAACTCAACCTACTAAGTACAGGACCCTGGCTTTCAAAAACAAAATACAAAATTTTATTTGGTTCTAAGTTTCTTTATGTTGAAATGACTCTCCCTAATTACTCCAGAAATACAGTTCAGAGGTCAGTGAAAGTGACTTTATTCTTGGAGACCCTGTTTACTGATCTGCAAGCAATAAAGACTAGATTTCTAATCCTTTAGTGTCATGTCTTTTCTTAGAATAATTCTCTCTTCTTTTTGTTTTTGTTTTTGAGACAGGGTTTCTTTGTGTAGCCCTGGCTGCTCTGGAACTCACTTGGTAGACAAAAGCTGGCCCAGAACTCACAGACATCCACTTGCCTCTGCCTCCCAAGTGCTGGGATTAAAGGCATTCACCACCACCACCCAGCTCCTGAAAAGCTATTAACCATTCATAACAGTATAACACATAATTTTGTAAAGGTCATTTGTGTGTGTGTGTTTTGAGGTGTGGTGGTTTGAATAGGAATGGCCCCCATAGTAGACTATGTTTGAATGCTTGGCCCATAGGGAGTGGCACAATTAGGAGGTGTGGCCTTATTGGAGTAAGTGTGGTCTTGTTAGAGGAAGTGTGTCACAGTGGAGGTGGGCTTTGAGGTCTCAAATATGCTTAAGCCACACCCAGTGTGGCACACACTCTCCTACTGCCTGCGGATGCATGGTAGTGGCACACATCTTTAATTCCAGCATTCAGAAGGCAGAGGCAGGTGGATCTCTGAGTTCGAGGCCAGCGTGATCTACAGAGTGAGCTCCAGGACAGCCAGAGCTACACAGAGAAACCTTGTCTGGAAAAACCAAAACCCAACCCAAACAAACAAACAAACAAAAAGATATACAACTCTTTGCCTGCATGCCACCCACGGTGATAATGGACTAAACTTCTGAACTGTAAGCCAGCCCCAATTAAATGTTTTTCTTTATAAGAGTTGCCAAGGTCATGGTGTCTTTTCACAGCAACAGAAATCCTAACAAAGACACAAGGGCTCAAACTGAGGTCCATGCCACAGAGGACAGGCAAATATTCTACACCATACTCTCAAACCTCAGAAATATTTAAAACCATTAGTTTGTTCAAGTACCATTCTGTTTCAGTCATGCTAAGGAAAATGAGAGAAAAGGCCACACAGCCATGTTTAAAGATGGGAGTTTTACAAGGAGAAACAGGGAGAGTGGATGGCATGCCAGGGGAATGGGGAGAAGCAGCCCTTTCCCGATGGGGACTCCCCTCCACCGATGCCCCTTCAGAGGAACTTGTCTGCCCCACACTGATAAGGTGGAAGCCATTTCATCACAATCATGTTTTTAAGACTCCACTGTCATTCCCTAAGGTCAGTCAGAACCACAGGGTAAACATAGCAGTATTCCCTAGAATCAGTGTTACTAGAAGCCTGGATGGTAGGAAGATAAAGGATATTACCAGCAAATTTCAACAATAAAACAAGTAACTCTACCATGGAATACATATATATAGTCTGAGTTTGAAAACTACAACATAAACCTTTAAAGAGAACTGTCTACAGCTGGGTCTGAACCCCTAGGTAGCTACCTCAGGCGTACGCTGACCTCCTTCAGATTGCAGCTTCTTCTGTGAAAACAGTTGCAGAAGGATTACCTTTTAAAACTTGCATGTGCACAGGGTTTGCACAGCCTGGACCTGATGGGGTCCCAGTGCTGAGAGGAAGTGGATGTAAACCCACACCCCTAACCCAGAAACGACGTCCAATTGATAACTGCCCACAAATGAAAAATTAATTTTCTTCAAAAGTTTCACTGGGTATACAAACCACTCTGAAAGCCAGGCCGATGCCCAGCACTAGACGGCCAGCCCAAAACAAAGTCAGTGGCATTTCTAGAAGTTCTTTACTCATACTGCTGTCAGGGCTTTGTGTTTTCCTCTTACGTACATGCTATGGTTTCCAGTTTTGTGTTGTTAATGGGATTTCTGTGTGTGCAACTGTGTGTGTCTGAGTCTATATGTGTTTCTTGAGCTTTTTCTTTTGTTCCTTTTTCTTCTGTTTATTTCTCCTGTCCTATTCTGGTTTGTTTTTATCTAATGTTACTTTACTGTTATTATTATTTTAGAGGCCTGTTTATATCCTAATGAGAGAGAAAGAACGGGTATGGATTTGGGTGGGTCAGGAAGTGGAGGAGATTCTGGGAGGAGCTGAGGGAGGGGAAACCATAATCAGAATATATTATATTCTCTATTTATATTATCTATTTTCAATAAATAAATAAATCACATGTAATTTCTTACTTTTACTATGACTAAATGATCCCAAACTTATTCTGGCAGATTGAAAAAGGGTGGTCAAATATTAATTTGTAGATGTAACTATCTTTTTTTTTCAAGTCTTCAGATTTAGCCTGCATAAATTCTTATTCAGTTCATTCTATACAGCTTCGCAAGAATTATTCGTTTTCAGGCTCCTCTGTCAAATTAACACATCTTCAAGCCCTTAACAAAAGTACCCACCAGCTTATACAGACATAAGCAATGGGGAAACATCATTGGCAGCATGGGATGTGCACTCTACCTGATCTTCCATTCTCTCTGTGCCTTCCAAGACAATTTTCTGGACACTTTCTTGTCTTTCCTAAGAAAAAGAAAATTTGCTTTAACAAATCCATTTTGATGCTTGTTTATTTTTCAATGTAGATATGTTGTCACGTGTATTTCACAAGCAAATCCTTTCTATTGCAGGTGGGGGAAAAGGAGGGAGACTAGAAACTATCCCAACAAGTTCACGCTCTCACACACAACATAAAATATAATCAAAGCATCCTTTATTCTACAGTAAAGAGATGAGATAATTTGGCAGAAAAGAGTCCATGTAACACCTGCAGCTTCAAAAGAAAATAATTACACACTACTCAACTCAAACGAGAGTGACTTGCATCTGAGGAACAGAGCAACGGTTGTTTTAGTTTTGCTTATTTCTGGGACTGGGTCTCACAAGGTAGAGCAGGTTGGCACTGAACTCAAGTCCTCCTGCCTGAGTCTTGAGCTCTGTGATTACTTGCCTGTGCTACTACCTGCAGCGAGGCTTTTTTAATCTGAATGATTTTCGTTAAGTATGTCACAAATAAGAAGGAGAGTCTGCAACAGGTGTAACAGAGAAAACTAGTCTTGAAAAATACTATTTCCCCTTATAATAGGTTAGACGCCTTATAAAACTAGTCATGCTTTAATGGACTTTCAGGATGGTATTAAACCAGAAAATAGGACGGAGAATTGAGTTTGTTCTTTAGATTGCCAAAAATACACAGCAATATAAGTATCAGGAGAAAACAAAATTTCCTATAGCTAAATCTGCAAATTGAAAGAAAGAATTCCCTAGAATCCGTTTTGTCTATGTGCCCATTTTACAAATCTGGCAAACTTAGAAAAGCAGCTTTGCCACAAAGGGCTGTGTGGCTGACATCGTCTAAAATTCTGTGAATTTTTATACCTTCCCACAGTTGTAAGGAAAAGACAAAGTCACACAAGAGAAGGAAAACAAAAGGGATTTAGAGCCAAAGCTTCCCAAACAAACTCAGATCAAATGTTAATACCTCTGAGCTTAACTTTTCACTTGCAATGGAGGGCCACTGTCTCCCCTTCCATTATTACCATGAAGACCATGGTCAGGAGACCAGCTCTCTCTGTGTCCAGGAGACACAAAGATAATATCTTCTGTCTGGTTCTAATTGCATATAATCCCCAAAACTTAAATATAAATGTACCAGAAAAAAAACTTCAATGACCAGGTGACCATGAGCATGCTAAAAAGTCCCTTACCTTATGCATCCATATCCTTCCTTTGCGAATGATGTGTGTTAATCTGTCAACACACACCCTATGAAGTGGGAGGTAGAAACCAAGTTCTGTCTGCGGAAGTATAATTGATAGTCCATAAGTGCTCCGATCTCCATTCCAGTTTCCGTCGAAGATCAATGAAACAATAATTACTCCTTTTTCAGATAAGACAAAAAACTTTACATCTATAGCCCCACTCTCTGCATTTCGAAGAATTTCTCCATTTAGAGTGTGGTTGGCAAGAAAAGTTATTTCTCCATCACTGAGAAGTACCTGTTCTGTCTTTGGAGCCCAAATGTGCCTTACTCTAGGACCGAGAATATTATCCCAGTAAGCAAAGGTAGCTGCCAACAACGGTGATTCACCACTTAAAGCAATCTCTGTCTTGGCTACAGCAGGAGATGGTGGTGGGCAGATGGTCGACATCCCTGCATCCCAACTCTCACATTATCCAAATGCTTGCAAAAGCTAAACAGGGACATACAAAAACAGTGATTAGGTTTAGCCATTTAAAGGTATCCATATAAACCCCAACTGACTTGGAAAATGTTACATACTAATATGAACAAAGAATAAGCCCTCATTATCTCCAGATACAAAGCCTGCCTACAATGACTGGATACCTGGTCCCTAAACCATTTCAACTAAAGAGCAAAAGAGCCAGGGGAGAACTCTGTATAAGCGAATGGAACCTTACTTGCAAATAGGTACAGTTAGACCAAGGTGGTTCATACCAGAGCAGAATGGGTTCTAATCCGATGACTGCTGTGCTTAAGAGGAGAGGGGGAAGGAGGGGAGGGAGGGGGACCCACAAAAGCAAAGCAAGCCAGTTGCAAGAAGACAAAGGGCCAGGAACTGGAATGCTGAACCTGGAAGGCAAGAGTACCATGAATTACTGGTCACCACCAGATGTGGAAGAGACAAAGACGGAGGTTTCCCTGGAGCCTTCAGAGGACCATGTTCCTGACAATCACTTGGCATTGGCATTGAGCTTAGAGTTCACAGAACCGTGAGAGAACAAATTGGTGCTGTTTTAAGTCCCCTAGTTTGTGTTTTCATTATACTGTTCTTAGAAAAGTAGTTAAAAAGCCTGATAGCAGAAATACCATACAATAGCTAAAAAGATGTAAGATCAAAACCACAGCAGAGCAAACAGGTCTGTCACAGTGAACTCTGGCTACTAAGGTACTGCAGCCCAATACTGCTGTTTAAAACGACATTGAAACAGGGAGACAAGCATAAACAAAGATGCTGGTTCAGAAGGCAGCAGAGCAACATGAAGGGCTTATACTAAGTCGCTAAAATAGAAGAGTTTCAGTTACTCAGAACACAGAAAACAGAAGAGCCAACAAGCTCACAGCCAAGCAGGAGCCAGGGTTCCACATACAGATCTTCATTCATTCAAACACACCGCTCTGGAAGAAGAAACTCTACATACTATCTGTATAAAAATCAATCATTCTTACAAATACTCTAATTAAAGGATGACATGTAATCAAAGATTTAAAGTAGAAAAAAGATATAATAAAATGGTAGGATCTATATAAGGTAGCTGTACTGGAGGAAGCTAATGGGTGAACTCTGATAAGCCTATCTCTTTGCCTGTATGATTACTTTGGGAATGAACATTTGATCTGTAACAAACTGAAGTCCATGTAAGTAATTTTATTTAAAAATGTTTATCTACTGGGCTGGCAAGACCGTTCAATAGTAAAGGCTCCTGCCACCATGCTCAATGAATGACCTGTATCCAGTCCCTAAGATCCGTATGAAGGACATAGCTAATCCTCTCCTCTCTTCCTCTCTCTCTTATCTGCATCTTGTCAAGAGTTTAGAGTCTCATGCAAAGGAGTACCATCTATATTTAGAATGCTGAGTGAGTGTTTTTATCATATTATGATTAGGCATGCAGAACTTGGCAAAACAATTCTAAGGACTAGTTTACTCAGAAATTTTGCATGTGCATTTTTAATTTCAGAAATTCACTTAGATATGATTTACTTTTTAATGTCAATTTGATAGTCTGAAGAGACCACATATGTACAGCTTGTTTAAAATACCGAATATTTTGGATACAATTGGAAAAGTCAGTTTTCAATGAGGGAACAGAAAATGTAATCTGAATTGAAACTGTGATGGTGCTACTGTCCTCATTAACAACAGCAAATTGGAGGCCAACATGACAAATTAGCTGAACACACAACCATAAAATTATATTGCAAACATATTCCCTTTCCATTCTTTCTTTTTGTTTGTTTTAAAAGGTGAATAATTCTAGGGTAGGCCTAAATGAGAATAATGTGCATAGAAAAATTTCCTTGAAAATATGACCACCAGTATATATTCAGAAGACGACATTCCATGGGGCATTGCCTCTGTCCAAAGGCATTTCTTTCCTCATTGACACCGAAATATGACCCGGTAAAAGAATGTTTCAGAGTTGGGCACACATCTCAGTGGTAGAGCCCTCACTTAGCATGTGCAAGCCCCTGGATCCCATCCCCAGCACCAAAAAAAGAAAATGTTTCATGTTTAAGTATGTCCTATAGAACATGCAAAATCTATATACTATAGCAGAATGAGTAGAACTTTGGTAGCATTACTAGCACTGAAATTTTCAGAAATGAGGCTTTAAAAAATTTTAAAGACCTTCATTATACTTTTCATTAGTTCGGAAATACTTTCATCTATCTAAAGAAGCAGTTTTCAGCCTATGGGTTGCAACCCCTTTGGGGGTCGCATATCCAGCATATTAGACATTTACATTACGATCCATAACAGTAGCAAAATTACAGCTATTAAGTAGCAATGAAAATAATTTTATGGTTGGGGGTCCCCACAACATGAGGAACTGTGTTAAAGGGTCTCAGCATTAGGAAGGTTGAGAACCCCTGCTCTAAAGGACCAAGCACTATCTGATACTGGGTCATAAACCTTTGCCTTGAAAACTGTCTGCATCTCCTACCCACTCCCCATATTTATATGCTAATTAAATCTATCATTTTTAAAAAGGTGAATAATTCTAAATACAACAGCACAATCCAAACATCCCATCATTATACTGGAAAGAAAAGCACTTCTTAAAGCATTATTGAGCCCCAGAGCACAATCCTAAAGAATTATGGGAAAACTTTTAACCTGATTGTGAAAATTAAACTATTATGAGCCATTGATTTTATTTAGCCTTATCCCTGGTCTAATTATAAAGAAAAGAAAGGACTAAGGATCATGTTGGGTTGTTTAGCTTCAAGTGCGGCCTGCCACAAAATAGTACTTGCCTCTTACCCTCAGGGGATGAAGTGTAAGCCACTCTACTGAATATCTAAATTGTAGAGTATATATGTATGTGCTGTCTTTTTCTTTACATTTCATTTCTTGTAAGGTGTAATTTACAAATTAGACACAAAGAGATTATTAATAACAAAATGTAACTATTAATAATGCACCAGAATAATAATGAGCCATATGAATGTGGTCTCTTTCTGAAATGTCTATTCAACTCACTCTTCTTCCGATGGTAACAGGCTACGTGATGAGATGTGCTGCAATGAAGTGAGGTGAATGGCATAGGCCTTAGGTTACTGCTGACCTTCTGGTGTGTCAGGAGATGGTCCTGGATCACTATGACAACCCTGGCAGTTAGATGTCGGGAGGAGGAAATGGTTCAGAGGCTTCCACAGCTGAAAGGTCTTCTGCCCAGTTCTTTTGGAAAAACATCGTATTCAGAAGTCGGAGTCTTTTTTAACTCATCCGTTTGTTGTGCAGCAGTTTTATAATCCTCTGGATGACTTTATGCTGAGCTCCACCCGAGGTCTATATTCCACGGCTCTGTCTTTTAAGACCTTCACAATTTTATACACATCATCCTCATCACTTTTCTATGTCTACATCGCAGGCTGTTTCAGTTTCTTCTTCCCCTTTTTCTGTAGATTAGTAAACACGTTCTTCTAATTCCTCATTTGTGAAAACTTCCCAGTAGCCTTCAGCATTTCTACACATTAAACATGCAAGCAAAGCATTCAGCAACTCGACTTGCAGCTTCTCTGTTAATTTGTTTCTCTATTCATACACATCCTTGCATCCGTGCAGCCACCTTGTGAGGGGCTTCGTGTCCCTCACTTCCAGAGAACTTTACAACTTATTTATTTTATTTGTGTTTATTTACTCAGGATGCATATCTATTTGTATTTACATATTTATTATTACTATTAATTATTCTGTATACTTATTTAACTTTATGTTTTGCCTGCATGTGCTTGCCTGGTGCCTGTGGAGGTACCTGGGTCCTCTGCAAGGGCAAGTGCTCTTAACCACTGAGCCATCTCTCCAGCTCTTTCAGAACTTTGGCTGAAATCTTTGAACAAGACTAATGCTTTAGGCACAACATGCTCTCAACAACTGATCAGAACATGGTTTCCTGATTATGTCTTCCACCCACAAATGCAACTTTTTAAAAGATATTAAATATTTATCACGCATTGTGGTTATCATTTTGTAAAATGAATTCAACAGCAAGACCAGCAAAACTTTTATCCTTTCTTCATAATTTCACAGAAGATGTAGTCTTACCATGGTTTTCAGTAATATCAGCATAGCCCCCTCCCCCATTTACGGTGAGAACTTTCACCTTAAAAGAGGTACTTTATGGCTTCTCTTAGGCAAATCCAAATTACCAGTATCATCATCCCCTATGCTATGAGGCTATTATTAAGTAAAAGAAGGGTTACGTACAAGTGACCTTATAACTAAACTGTCTACTGAGTGACTAGGAAGCAGGTGGTATGTCCAGTGTGGATACAATGAACACAGACATACGAGTAAAGGGGTCGACCATGTCCTGGGCAGGACAGAGCAGAGGTGCAAGATATCATCAGGCCGTGCAAAACAGCATACTGCTTAAAACTCAGAAACTGTTTCTTTCAAGAATATAATTATTTTTGGACTGTAGTTGAATGTAAATGAAATCATAAAAAAGGGGAAATTACTATAACCTAAAATATGAAGTATTATGGAGAAGTATAATTAGGGAAGCTGTAAGTACGATTTTACTAACACTTGAAGTTAGCTTTGATGAAAATCCATGTGCATATATGGCAACAATTTTCAGTTTAAATTTAAAATTTTTTTTAAAGTCCATAGAGTCTTTTGAGGGAAGCCAGGATTCAAACCGAGTGAGATGGTGTCTTGCCACTTTATGAACAAAACTCAGGATTCACAAGGGCTAATCAATACTTCCAAAAGTAATAACCATGTATTTATGTTAATAAGCATGTTAACACTGTTAGCAGACAGGCACATTTGAGCCCCCTTTTTTTTTCTTTAAACCTGTCCAAAAAAAACCAAACCAAAACAACAACAACAACAACAAAAAACTCAGCTACCTCTATGCAGGCTGCTTTTAGGATGTCCATTTGCCTACTGCTACTGTGAGGCAGAATTATACCACCATCAGGCTCTCACTTCTTGTAACAATGCTTTATTTCTCCCAGTAAAGAGAAGCAGGGCCATAAACCAGCCTTACTAGCCAAACAGGAGCTAACCAAGGCCTCTGTAAAGGCAGGGGACTGCTTGGGAAGATGAGCTTTTGTCATTCTTTACAAATTTTCAGTTTCAGTCAAGACTCACACATTCCTGACACAACGCACCATCCATCATCTCTCACGGTTTCTCAGGCAGACTAACCTAACCCTTTGGAACTATTCAATTCACATGGGGCTCTAGGGCAGGCTCAAAAGATAAAATCCTATTCATTTAATCATTCTCTAAAAGCAAATATTGGATGGCCAACCTAGCCAGGCAGACTATTTTACCAACTTCTTAGTTATATTGACATTCCTCTCCCGGAACATGAAATGCTTGCTTATTGTACAACCTGCAGTGCAGTCTGCGGCTCCTCTCATTTCGTGTGGGATGAAATAAGAGTACGGCCACCTCGAGGCACTTCCCACAGTGCCAACAGTCAGTGAAGAGCTAGCTGGCAGCGCCTCACAAAGACAACACTAGTTCCTCCTGATGCAGAGACTATTTTCTGAAGTTTCAGTACCTGTAGTAAACTTCAGACCAAAAACAGTGAATGAAAATTCCCAGAAGAATATAGCTTGTAGGTTTTAAGCGGTACATCGTGCTGTGCAGTGTGATGAAATTGTGTGCTGTCTGCTCCAAAGCTGAGATTCACCTTTGTCCAGCATATTCCTGCTATCCATGCTGTCTGCCACTAGTTACTTCTCTGTCCTCTTGGTTATCAGATCAGGTGCCCAAGGGCTGAGGTGCCTGCATTCAGGCGAGCCTTGTCTTACTTAGCAGGGGTTAAAGTACAGTAAGCTACTTGGAGAGATTACATTCACAGAACTTCTATTACAGCACAGCTGCAATGGTTCTACTTTATTATTAGTTATTTTTAATCTCTTATTGTGCCTAGTTTCTAAACTTTATTATGTGTATGATATGTATGTGTATGATAAAGAGGGAAAAACACCTTCACTCACACGATAGTATATACAGGTGCTTCTCTTCACTGGGGGCATTCTGGCATGTCCTCTTAAACACAGGGGACGATTACAATATTTCAAATATTCTTATTCCATATTATTATTAACATCCATGTATTACGGTCTTTTATATTCTGTGCTGTTTCTATATTATAAGTTTTCCGAAGTTGACTAATGATCCTATCACAAAGTATTTTCCAGTCTTTTTGAGGGCCCTTTGTACAAAGTAAAAGTACTGTTGAGACAGATTGTGTATCCGTTTTAACACTACTGGTGATGGACAGGAACAGTGTGGCTAGGGATTTATCCACCTGCCTGGACAAAACTCTACCGGAACCTAATAATCCCCACACCAGAAAGCAATCCCTCCTGGGTAAACTGCATGATTTCCTTCCACTTCCCCGCTTTCCCTCCTGGCCAGACAGACCCTGCGTGGACAGACTTATAATCAGTGCCCTTCTCTCTGAAACTGATTACCATCAGTCAAGTGATGCCCAAGTCACAATGGTCACTTCCTTTAATAAGTCTGTGTAACCGCGGAACTGTGAAGCAACCAGGTCATGTCCCACAGAAATGGGGAACACCGTGTCTAGAGCTGTAGCCCACGTTACTGAGCATCAGCACTCCTTGCAAACTTCTGTGAAATTCTGCCAGCGTGCTGCCGGTCCCTCCTCCATCCCACCCGCTCTTTCTCCTCCCGGGCGGGGACCCTAGGTAGACCCGAAGGGGTCCCAGGACCGCCACCGTTCTGGCTGTCGCAGGGCCAGGCCCCTGGGGCCCAGGCTTCTGGCGGTGGAGGCCGCGCCCGCGGTATTCCCAGCGGGTTCCCGCAAGGGCCCGGGAGAAGCTCGGGGTCGGAGAACGCGGGTGGACAGAGGAGATGAGGCCCATCCCCATCCCTTCCGCGCCGCCGCGGCCCCCGCAACTCCACGGGTCGCTGCGCTGCAAAGCCGAAGGAGCTTTCGCTCAGGGGACAGGGAGGAACTCAGCCCGAAAAGGATCCCGCTGGTCCCCGGCGCCGGCCGGCAAGCAGACCGAAGCAGCAGCCCCGCTCCGCTCCGCCCGCCCGCGCGTCTCACTCACCCACTCGCCGCTGCTGCGCCTCCACCGCCAGCGCAGGGACCACAACCGCAGCCCGCTCCGGGCCCCGCCCCGGGCAGCCAGCCCCGCCCATGACCACGCCCCTCCCTGCCCCCGCCCCCAGCCCACCGGCGTCCCAGATTCCGCAGGGGTCCCTCTGCGGGTCTTGGCGATCTCGGTCCCTTCTTTTGTCTTTGGTCACCCTTGTGGAGTCAAGCACTGAGCTTGAGGCAACCAATGCGCACCTCCCGAGCACACCCTCCCTGGTCTGCCTAGACACTACTCCCCCCAGGGAAGGAAAGGGCAATGGGGGATGGCTGACACTACAAACGCCATCTTTCACGTGGGCGGAACTTGTCTCTGCCTGACGCGCCTCTGTTTCCTAGTGGGACGCCGTAAGTTCCGGCTTCCAGCTTTCAATTTGCTCTGCCGGTGCCTCGAGACGCCGGTGACAGGCTGGGCGGAGGCTGACTTGCGCTTTGTATCTGTTCTTCCGAACCCTGGTCAGGATAGATAGTGCCATCTGCTTTAGGGAAACCTACCGAGCCCCAGAAAACATACTTAGTGATTGCAAGTAGTTTTTGGATTGGTCGGCAGGTAGTGGGTGCTCAACAAATACTTGATGAATGAGTGGATTTCTTTTTGGCCGTATGACACAGTTAACTACCGAACGCTCACGCCACAACAAGCACAATTTGTAATTCCTCCCACTCTGTGAGTAGTCACCGCTTTTTCTTCTAAACGTCATTTTTGCTAAACTACACAGTGCCTTTTTTTCCCCCCAACTTTTGGGAAAACGCACCATTACTTTTGATGTGTTTAATCTTTTTGGTTTGTAAATGTATTATGATTTTCCACTACAGATGAGTAGTGTTTAATATTTTTCAGCAGGTTGTCATTTACAGAAAAAGACAGGGATTAATAACAAAATACCTCTAAAGTTGACACAATCGGTAAGAAGACCTCTCACTCTTTTTTTTTAAAAACCCAGCAATAGCCGGGCGGTGGTGGCGCACGCCTTTAATCCCAGCACTCGGGAGGCAGAGCCAGGCGGATCTCTGTGAGTTCGAGGCCAGCCTGGGCTACCAAGTGAGTTCCAGGAAAGGCGCAAAGCTACACAGAGAAACCCTGTCTCGAAAAACCAAAAAAAAAAAAAAAAAAAAAAAAAACCAGCAATAGCCACCGATCAAGTTCCAATACCGTTTTGTATTATGCTCTTCAGTCACAAAGAATTATACTGCATTTATGTGTGGAGTTAGAAATGCATCCAAATACACAGAACTGGAATAGAACCATGTTTGGAAGGTGGGGTTAAGAGTGAGGTACTTAGGTCAAAGTGGGTAAATTTGCAGGTATGTCACACAAGTGAGGCCAGCCATCTAAAGTACAAGATGAGGAATATGTTTATACTATATCCCACACT